AATGCCATGATAAGGTAGTTCCAAAAGGTAACTCTAGCACCGCCCATTTTATCGGCAAGCCAACCACCAAATGGACGGAAAATTGCACCCACCAAAGGTCCTAAAAATGCAACTTTTAATGGATTGACATCAGGAAATGACGTTTTAATCAGCATCGGAAACGCCGCAGAAAAACCAATAAATGAGCCGAATGTCGCAAGATACAGGATACACATAATCCAGTTTTGTTGACGACCGAAGATGACTGATTGATCTTTGAATGACGCTTTAGCAGAGGATAAATCATTCATCCCAAACCATGCCGCAATAGCAGCAATGATAATGAGTGGCACCCATACAAAACCAGCGTTTTGTAGATACATGGTTGATCCTTTGGCAGTGGTCTGCCCATCACCACCGAATGCACCAAATAATGCAAAACCAATCACGGCAGGGACTAAGAATTGAGCGGTTGACACACCCAAGTTACCCAAACCCGCATTTAGACCTAACGCTGTACCTTGTTGTGATTTTGGATAAAAGAATGAGATGTTTGACATACTAGAGGCGAAGTTACCACCCCCAAAACCACACAATAAGGCAATAATCGCAAACGTGCCAAACGAGGTATTTGGGTCTTGTAAAGCCAAGCCCATCCAAATCGTTGGAATTAACAATGACAAAGTAGCCAAGGTGGTTAGTTTACGCCCACCAAAAATCGGTACAAGAAACGAATAAAAAATCCGCAGTGTCGCACCCGATAGGGCAGGTAATGCGGTTAGCCACGCTAACTGGGCTTTATCAAAATGAAAACCAGCATCAGGCATGCGTACTACCACGACCGACCAAATAACCCACACTGAGAACGCAATTAGTAGATTGGGAATCGAAATCCATAGGTTACGAGTTGCGGCTTGTTTGCCACCATTTGCCCAAAACTGCTCATCTTCAGGACGCCAGTCTTCGATACGGCGACCGCCCTTGAGTTCATTATTCATAATTCCTCCGTCTATGCCTATCACAGACCAAATATTTTTCTTACCCTTGCAGTATAAAATCTTGTTTGCCGCAAATCCCTTATCACAAGGCATATATATGGGCGTTAGCGATTATCCTTTGGGAGTAGAAAACGTCATCATGTTAAAAAATTGGATTTAGCTAAAAAAAGACCAGAAACTATGTCTGGTCTTTATGTGGATTATTGAGTTTTGGCTTGTTTAAGGGCTTGTTCTGCTTTGTGGGCAGATTCCATCTGTGGGCGTACTTCGCTGAGATAAATCCAAATTAAGCTTACCCAAATCACCCCAAACATAATCATAAACGCTGAGCTACGCACACCGGTGATATCAACGGCTGCCCCAAACATAATTGGCAAGATAAAACCACCCAAACCACCCGCTAAACCAACCACACCCGATACCGCACCCATATTGGTTTTGTATTGGTCAGATAGATATTTGAAAACAGACGCTTTACCAATCGCAAACATAATACCAAGGGCAAAAATTAGTAGCGTAAATACCGTGGCATTCAAGCCTAAATGAAACTCTTTTGCACCTGTGACAGTCTGAATGGTCATTTGGGTTTGTGGGTAAGACAATACAAATAGAATCAGCATTGAAACCCAAAGCACCCACCAAGTCACAGTATGAGCCGAATATTTGTCAGACAACCAACCACCCAATGCGCGCAGCACACCACCCGGTAAACTAAAACAGGCTGCCAAGAAAGCCGCAGTTTTTAGACTAAAACCATACTCATTGACATAATATTTGGTCATCCACAATGCCAATGCCACATAACCACCAAAGACAATCGAGTAGTACTGTGAATAACGCCACACATCTTTATCTTTTAGTACGGCTAGCTGTGCGCCAATACTGGTGCTACCTGCGGTACGGTGTTCTTTATTGTCAAAGGTAAAAAACCAAAACGCTAAAGCCGTGACCAGCATGATGCCTGCATACACTTTTGGTAAAAAACGCCAACCTTCCGCTTGACCGAGAGCCGTCGCTGCTCCCGCCGCAATTAATTGATGGCCAATGATTTTGGTCAAAGCAGATCCTGCATTACCTGCACCAAACACCCCCATAGCAAGACCTTGGTTTTGGGGTTCAAACCATTTTGCAACATAGGCAATACCCACAGTAAATGAGCCACCTGCTAGACCGACAAACAATCCTAGTACCAAAAAATGCCAGTATTCATGGGCATAACTCATGGCATAAATTGGAATAACCGTAATTAGCATCAAGATAAAAAACACAATACGGCCACCGTATTTGTCGGTCATTAGTCCAATCGGTAGCCTTACCAACGAGCCAGTCAGTACGGGCATCGCGGCTAATAGCCCAAACTCAGTGTTGTTGAGCCCTAACGTTTTTTGGATGGGAATACCCAAAACTGCAAACATCATCCACACCATAAAACACACAGTAAAGGCGATAGTGGAAAATGTTAGTACCATATTTTGCTTGGTTTTCAGACTTGCCATAGTAGCCCCCTGTCTGATATGTTGTGAAACCTTTATAATCTGGCAACTATCGAATGCCTGCTTTTTATGAGTTAGGAGCAGATCATCAATAGTGTCGATAAACCTATGATAAGCAAATCGTTAAGCGAATTAATTGATTTGAATCAATACTTTTTTGAAATAAAATCGATACAATATCTCCGCTACTCCTAAAGTGGTAGGCAGCTAATACTAAATAAATAAAATTATTGTTTTTAATTTCAATTACTTAATAATAGAATTTACTGGAATATTCAATTTTCCGTTTTTTACAAACTTCAACAAACTTTTTAGAGGTAGCGTTGCAAAATTTATCCGAAAAGAAGCTAAAACTACCCAATGCCCTTGCAAACTCATTACCAGTGCGAGCTTTTTTTGCCGTAGCAATTACTATTGTGTTGGCCATTATAACCCCTGTATCGAGCGCTATTTTGGCATGGAGTGCCCAATCAGACGCCAAGGCGATTAATACCGCAGGCTCAATTCGGATGGCGACCTATCGCATTAGCTATTTGATGGCAAGCGATTATAAAAATAGCCAATACCTTGATCAAAACTTTCATTTGTCGCCCAATCAACCCTTGACCAAGCAACTTGCCAGTGATATGGAAAATCGTTTGACCGATTTATACCACTATGAACAATCTCGCCGTAATCAAAATAAAGACATCATTAGACAAATCGATGCCCTTGAACAGACTTGGCGACAACGCCTTAAGCCATTATTACTAGCCAACAATACTCAACAGTTCTTTATTGACGCAACGGCTTATATCAATCACGTGGATGAATTGGCACAGCATATTGAGGAACGCAATGAACAACGCCAAATTTATCAACAGACGCTCCAGATTTGTTCATTGGTCATCATGCATCGTCATGCTCGTTGGGTTAAGTGAAATGCGACAAAAAGTCTTGTTGCCTGTTCTCAAACTTCGTCACGCGACCCACCGTTTTCGCAAGGGTGAATACAGTCCTGTGATGATTGATGGATATGAAGAATTTAATGAATTGGGCAAATCCTTTAATAAGATGGCGAGTTCATTAAAATCATATCAAGACAACCTTGAAGCCGAAGTAGCTCGCAAGACTTTTCAGAAATGCGACAAAAAGTCTTGTTGCCTGTTCTCAAACTTCGTCACGCGACCCACCGTTTTCGCAAGGGTGAATACAGTCCTGTGATGATTGATGGATATGAAGAATTTAATGAATTGGGCAAATCCTTTAATAAGATGGCGAGTTCATTAAAATCATATCAAGACAACCTTGAAGCCGAAGTAGCTCGCAAGACTTTTCATTTAACGCAGAGTAACCAAGCTTTGACCTTGCTGTATGATTTTGCCAAAGAGCTAAGTAGCCAAACCATTTCTTATCCAAAACTACAAGTTTTTATCAAAGATTTTGCTAAAGTGATGCCACATTTGCACCTTAAACTATGCTTTCATAATAATTTATTTGAAACCAAAGATGTGGTGGCATTAGATAGTGATGCTAAAATCAGCTTAATGGGTAATTTTTGTCAAACTGCCAATTGTGATGTCTGTGAAATCAAACAGCAGGACAAAGCATGGGTGTTTCCGATTCAAAGTCAACAAATTGAATGGGGGGAGATTATCGTTACACCTAAATGGGACGTGACCGAACCCACCCAAAGACATTTTCAACTGGATGATAGTCGAGCCAATAGCCACACTAATCTACACAAGATTTCGCTGACGCAAATGCCTGACAACGAGCAGCCCTCATTTGATGAAACAGAATTGTTAAATACGCTTGCCAGTTTAATAGCCATTGTTTTTAGCAATCAACGCCAACGTGAGCAACAACACAAGTTAATACTGTTTGAAGAACGTAACACCATCGCTCGTGAGCTGCATGATTCACTTGCTCAATCGCTGTCCTACCTAAAAATGCAAATGGCGCTACTTGCTAATCTACTCAAGCAAGACCATACTAGCGAAGAACAACAGCACCGCATCGATCAAGTCATGTTGCAGTCTAAAGAAGGACTCAATGATGCTTATAGTCAGTTAAGAGAACTTTTAGTGACCTTTCGGCTTAAAATTGAAGAAGGTGAGTTTGACGATGCGCTACAGCAAGCCTGTGATGAATTTGCCAATAAAGGCGGATTCGTTATTCACTTGGACAATCGCTTAAATAGCAACAACTTAACTGCTAATGAACAGGTGGATTTACTGCAAATCAGTCGTGAAGCGTTATCCAATATTAACCGTCATGCCAGTGCTGAGCATGTGCATATCTCGCTGACGCAAGGACAACAAGGCTCAGTCACCTTGCGAGTTCAAGATAATGGCGTGGGACTTGATAAAAACTTTGATCATCGCCAACATCATGGCTTAAAAATCATGCAAGAGCGAAGCAATAACCTAGGTGGCGAATTTCGTATCGAAAATGTGCTACCGCATGGCACCGCGATATTAGTCAGGTTTATGCCAAAATCATTTGCGAGTATGAAATAAAACATTAAGAAAAATAAGAGGAAAATATCATGGCTGTGACGGTTTACACATCAGCAACTCCTGCTCGTCTGCTACTTGTTGATGACCATCCAATGATACGACGAGGCTTGAGTGATTTATTAAGCCTTGAAAATGATGTGAAAGTAGTGGGTGAAGCAAATAATGGTCAAGAGGCTATTAACTATCTGCAACATAACAACGTAGATTTAATCGTCCTTGATAACAATATGCCAATCATGAATGGTATTGAAACGCTCAAGCGTATTCGAGAGTTGGATATTGAAGGAAAAGTATTGCTATTTACCGTATCAGATAACAGCAAAGATGTGCAAGATGCCTTAGAGTTCGGCGTGGATGGTTACCTGCTTAAAGATATGGAGCCTGAGGATATCATCAAAGATATCCGTAAAATCCTGCGAGATGAACTCGTTATTAGCCCAAGTCTTGCGCCGATTCTCGCTCAGGCCATGCGAAAACCTGCCAAAAATGAAAGTAATTACGACCCTCACTACCGAGAATTACAAGTGGTACAAATGATAGCCGAAGGTTTAAGCAATAAAATGATTGGCAATAAACTGGGTATTGCTGAATCAACGGTCAAAGTACATGTCAAACACATTCTAGGCAAAGTTGGCTTACGCACCCGAGTTGAGGCCGCTGTTTGGGCCGTCAGTCAACATAAAAAGTCTTAAACGTTAACAGCGTATTATCATCATCTAATCATTTATCAAAGATAATAACCCTGTGATATCAAGTAAATGAAACTGTTCACCGTGCCGTTCAATCAATTTTTGCTGTTGTAAGGCCTGT